CATTATTTAAAACCCTAACACCCCCTATGATATCCAACCCCGCATATATCAACGAAATTGGCCGGTCCCGTGGGGTTGATATTAGAGAGGGTTCACTGTATTTTCATTTTGTACTGATGTTGCGTAATTTACATTCTAATAATATTATTTATGATAAGTAATCAAGTATTACAGTATCAGGAATTTACCTGCACAGGTCGCACAACCCGACACGTCGTACAGTCCATAATATTTCTATTTATGGATCTGAGTGTCCAATGAAGGGAGCCTGCACGACCTGGCAGGTTGTGCGACATGGCAGGTAAATTCCCGTTTATAACATTAATAAAAAATTATCGATCTTGATAAGAGCATACGATAAATGAACCATATCTTCACACGTTTCCTCATCCATTTCTTCACCTGTTTCTTCTTCACATAACGATAATACCAAAGGTAAGCTCCTCATCCGATTTACTAAAAAATAAAATAATAATCAGAAATTAATATGTTCCTGTATATGTTCCTGTAGCAGTTTCATGAGCGAGAATGTACATCTATTTTGGCTTGATGTATTATAACCCTTATGCCATCTACAAGGCATTTTTCCTCGTAGTGGAGACTGAATTTAGGCTTGGAGCTCAGGTCCGGGCCTTCTGGCAATGGACTGTAGACGGCCAAGGGAACGAAAATCAAGACAAACTCTGCTGGGGAACAGTTAACAAGGTCGATGATACAAATTATCCCACCGGAGCCCGCACATTTGGGATATTCTATGACTTATATTATCCGTTTGATCTCGTTGTTGATGATGACAATAACAAAATTGCCCTGACCATGTACGAGTATCCCAAATCAGATCCTAACTGTCGTGAGATAGCCAACTTCGACCTTTCTCGTGTATATTCATGCAGGACGACAGCTGCAGACTATAACCCTGTTCGAGCATTACCTGTGATTCGGTATTACCAGTTGGGCTACTGGATGAGCAATCTCTTCGCCATGATTGTCCCTTACAATCTTTGTGAAGGAGATCCTATTTGGTGTACTTGTCAGGACAACAAATATGTGTATTTCTATCACACTCCAATGCACGTTGTGGACCAAGATGACAGCACAATTACCGTTACATTCTACGTGGATGAATACAAGGCGAAGATGGTTCTGGCCAAAGATGATGACGACTGGTATTGCTTAAGTTGGGAGAAAGAAGATACAAAGGAAACATTGACTACATACACTGGTGTCCTCTTGAAAATGAAGCTTGATTCCAGCCATGTTTCTACATTACCTGTATCAATTGCAAAGGCTGAGCTTCCCATTCCAGATCTTCAAAAAGTTGATTATGCTTCAATCCAGTCTGCTCATGATCCAAATCTTCCACTTGAACCATTTTCACACTTTAGTAATGAAATTTCAAGGACTTTACTTTTAGGGACTACATCTAAAGTCATCAATGATACCAATGATGCCATCCTGTGCACACTTGAAGAGTCTGGAACATCAGTCAAAGGTAAAGTACTTGCAGGTCTGGGTATGGGCCTAGGCATATTAGGTATACTCCCTCTTGGAGGAGCCTCAACACCAGTTGCTGTTATTGGAGCATTGTTTGCTGGTGTAGGACTTTTTGATGCCTTTAACGAACCTAAATCTGAGGTCAAAAAACTTCTTTTTCCCAATGAAGACATGTCTCGTGAAGCTTCTGGTGGAATATTTGTTACTAGTAACAATGATTTGAAAATTATGCATGTGCAGATTAAAGACAAAGTGCTTACTTTCCGTGTTGCTATGATAGAAAGAGTGGATGAAGATACAATATATCTGAGCTCCAAAATAAACCAAAAAAACCTTTTCACAACATTGATGGAAATTTCGTGGATGAATTTTGACAATCAGGTCATTCAGGCATGCAAGTTTGTGAAGATTTCGAATCTCGTTCCCATTGACAATGCCTCTCAAAAACTCGCTGACCTTTCTGAAGAAGTCTTATACAATCTGTCAGATGGACAAATGATCTCAGACCATGGTGGGTCAGAGACCCTGTGCAACACCTTGAACAAGAGCTCATCTACGGGTGACCTACTTTTCCAATTTAGCAATCCTGAGTCTCAAACCAACGCCATATTGATCCACGCTTATGTTGCAAATTCTACTCGCAGCTATGATGTTATCACTATCCCAAATTCAAAACTTACAGTTCTGAAAATGACCAAATGCCGTATTGTTATTGATGACGAATACCGCAACTCCATTTCAACTCCCAGAACAGCTGAAAATGATGCCTATGAACAGATAGTGAAGAATGGTGGCTATTATGCCTATAGCTGGAGCACAAGAGAGAAAGTTTTTGCTTATAAGCTCCAGGATCTATCAAATGGCGCATCTATCAATTGTACCAATGATTCCAAACATATAGTTTACATTCCCATTTCCGGGTGGATGCCGTGGCAGAGGATGGTACAAAAAGGATAATGTATAGGGTAAATGTAGAAATCAGAACTGTTAGGTCAAATATGCAGATATCTGTTTATTCGTAGTCAAATAATTCTTATTTTATTATTTCTATTTAGTCACACAAATAAAATGTACTACAAATATTTTGTGAGGCATGTTCATTGATTCGCACCGTTAGTATCTATTGAATGAACGTGTTCGGTTGTTTTCATACATATTAATATTAATATTTAATACTAACTAGAGATGCTTGAGATCTGCTTTGCAGAAATTTGTGTTAATTAATTGTATTTTTGTAGGGAGGATCGATCCATAAAGTAGTGGTTGTATACATATAAATTGGTGAAATATGTTTAATGGAGGCGGTGTTATATTTTAATTGTTTGTAGAGCTTGATTTTTTGTTCGCGAGGAAGATGGGATTATGCAATGTAATTAATTGGGGGTTTAAGTAAATTGCTTATGTTCTATGACTTGGACAGGGCTTGGCCCAAATATTTTGTTACACAATGTGATTATAATGAATGCTGATATTTACTAAGTTTATCCATTTATCCACAGTTACGTAAATGCCAGAACACTAGTGCGTGTATAGCAACTGTTCTACTGGAGACATAGCTATCATACAATACTTGTACGTAATTACATTAATGATGTCATTGGTATTAATGATGATTGGTAAAGACATGGTTAGAATATGGAATGGAATTCTCGATA